TATTTTGCCGTTTAATAGCGAGAGTTCAAGTCTATATTATCATCATACCAGCGGTAGTCGTCGCGCCACGCATGTGAGATATATGGGTCTCATATAAACAAAGATGGTGACTTTGACTGTTGCGCAGATCATCGAGTACAAACTGGGATGTTTCTAAGCTTTAATTAGGTATTTTTTAGGGATTGGAAGGTGTCGAAGGAGGCACCGGCGTAAATTAGTGCAAGTCGCGTCCGGGTCAAACCTCATACTCGTGATGTCCATTAGAAGAGCGCATTGAATTGTGGGAAAAATCAATGTTGGACAACCCGCCAGAAATCAACAGGTGGGGGTGTCGCTCGCTGTACCACTCATCGGGTGGCGTTGCACAATGGCGTTCACATGTGCGTTGCGTGGCGGTTTAAGGAAAGGGTCGGTATTTGCAGCAGGGGGGGGGCTTGATTTGTATTCATTTTTTTTACTGGATATGCATCTTCCATGGCTTATGTACAAAGCTTGTCTTCCGATCACAGAAATACTACCTTTGTAGTCATTAGAAGCCAGTTTTTTAAGGATTTGTTCAATATTTGGTGTGGCACTGCCATATAATTTGATAAAACATACATACAATAAACTCCTACAGCTCAATAATGATCATATATATGCTGATTACTATTCAGACATAACAGCAAAATTAAACAGCTCAAACTACGATTTACAATGTGTAGTGAGTATTATAGAAACATATATTCTATTGTACAAAGTTAATAAAAAAAAACGTTAGATGGAAATTGGCTATTTAACTCTGTCTTATATTAAACAACATAGATATCATGTCATATATATTAGATTTCTTTTCCATCCGACTAAATCTTGATTACCTGCAGAATTATATATGTAATATTGCCCAATAGAAATGTCTAATCACATCTATTAAGGACAAGTAATTCAACCATGGAATAGTATTAACTTGAATACATGGCGTCACGATAAACCCATGTCATTCATATTTTGTAAGGCTTTGTTGTTATACATTGTCTATAATTGCGTGCAGGATATTCATAATTCCAGTATTATTATTATTGTTACTTTAATAAACATCGTACATGTGCACTAGATGTTGTTATCTATTAAAAACCGCCCTAGCATAATATGCGTTTTTTGTGTTGCAGCATGGGTACCGAGTTTCAATTCAAGTACCCCTCGCGGGGATAGTGGTGGACGTTTACTGCATATACTGACTACGAAAAAAGCCAAGATGCAAATTCCGGCGTCTGCCTTGATCATGGGGAATGTGTGTATAAATAACGAAAACTATAGAGGGCGCTCTTCTAAATGTATCCCTTCTAAGAGGGAGTGACATTACTGATATAGTCACAATATTCAATACATCTAGATAGCCTAATTGACTTAGTAAACTCAGATTGTGTACCACAGTCATCTGTATTTATTGATTCGTTGAACATGTGACCTTTGCATAGTGTATGTGCATTAATATTCAACTAAATTTCGAAATGAATAACAACTTAAAGAAAGACACCCCCGGATAACTATCAGAGAAAATGTAAGGAAGTAGTAACTTAAGTACCTGGAGCAAAAACAATTATTTAAAATAATCACTACAAATACATTACTTCGAAAAACGCACGTTAAAACGTAGAGGCACAATACATAATAGTATACAAATCTAAATAGTCTTATACAGACGTGTGTGGAATTCGACGCAATTGTACGTATGCCCCATGTATAATTGAATTTTTTACTGAATAAATCATGTGCAGGCACAGATTATAAGAAAGTGTAAATAACTTGACGCCTCATACACATCATACAAGAGAAGTACTCAGGCTGGCACACTATATATATATATTTATACATATTATTATTTCTATCAACATAAACCCAATGCGATGCAAACAATCGTGACTAATCCAGCGCGACAATGCTAAGACTCGGAACTAGTAAGACAGGTAAGTACAACGTAAAAAACACACGTATATTCTTCTGTTCGATAACAACCGTTAATATGCTATAGGGTTCTCGTCAGTAGAATTCTCAACAATGTAATGGGTCGTATGCTACGTTAATGTCTTCGTCTCGCTAATGTTACTGACCATTTTTATTTCACCACTAAATTTTCTCCCTGGCATTTTTATATTGTTGTTTATCGAAACTCACATTGTCGTTGACGTTTTGAGTCTACTTGGTCATCGTAGAAATTAGCATTCACTGCAAATAACACGAGATGACGGAAAGTAAAATACAATCGTGTCTTAAGTCTGCAATGTTTACGTTGGCGTCATGGTTGCTAGGTAACGTTTAAAGAATTCAAGATAGAATACGTACTTGTTAGGGTTTGCCCATTAGAAAATGATGGGTGATAGAACATGCGCAAATTATTGTTTTTATTCATTTAGGTTTGAGCTAGATATTTTTATTCGTGACGACGTTGTCGTTATTTTGTTGTGGCTTTTCCCATAATAATCTCCGTAGATTTTACCAACCCTTATTGAATCGAACACACTATTATGACACTGGAGACGATGAGCACGATGTCGTGGATGTACTGTGGCGTTTCATTTACATACTAATAATTACAGTAAGACGATACAGTTCGTCACCTTCGCATTCGGTTGGCTTATCAAAGTTGCACACCTCCCATTTCCTGGGATCTTCATGAGAAATGATAAAATCAGTTACTTCGGCGCTGAGGTTAACTTGCACTTGACAGAAAAAGGGTCAAGTCTAAACATCAAATCAAACACAATTTACGGTCTAGCTGTACTCACTCAAGTTCTTCTAAATTCGATCTAAGGATTTTGGTGAATCAGATTATTCACGAACTGACAAAAGTCTGAGCCATTAAAATGATCCATTAATTAATACAAATTGGGAACTTTAACATTGTCTGTTTCTAATATTAAAGAAAATGATTAGTTGTCCATTTGCAAAATGTTTTTTTATCTTTATGTTGTTGTTTACAAAACCCAAATAAAAATGTATGATCACCCAACTACTTTTCGCACTAAACCTCCATGGAAATGATGATTTTTGAGCCATTTATCATTTGTGTGGTGAAAACATCTCATCATTATATTGCAAAATTGTGTTCGCTTACATATGATGAAATTATAAATAAAATAATGATTAAAGAAATCATATGTAGTTATAAAATGGATACTTGTGGTTGCCACGAACTATTAGGAAGTTCTGATACATATTCTTTATTTTGTGAAATAACGCTTTATCATGGATTTCTATGAATGTTTTCAATTCTCGTTTTTCCACAAAAACATGTCGTGAGTTTGACTTAATAATAACTCGACGCTTTTGAAACATCACAAAACAATGTTGAGAATGCAAAGCGGTTCTATGATTCACGATGTCAACAATGTTATGATCTGTGATTGTTAATCAATAACACAATACTGAATTGACGAAAGAATATAAAACCAAACATAGTTATCTATTTCAACGACATTGTGTACACAGTGATCTGACGATTTATTCGTGTGCAGGCTGATAAGGCAGAGACAAGTATTAGTGATTTTAGGGGATTTGAAACCAGGATGACTAAACTGTTCACGTCTATAATTTCTGTTATTTTGGGCAAAGATATGACCCGTGATATAATCGTTCCGCTCAATAGACGTCCATGTATTGACTTTAGAACCACACACACGAATAAATCATTAGGCCCCGTGATTGCTTGCACCCATCAATATCATTTGGCCGCCACATAAGCGATTTATCGCTAGAGGGCGTAGATAATCCAGAATTGCGAATGTATCGTTCATCAGAAACCATAAATGTTAATAAAAAGACAAGTCTTGATATGTTTACTTTCAGAAGAAAAATATTCCTGTTTTAGCGTCACTACTAATGACAGTTTGTTCGATATATGAATAAATGTTCCGTAGATAGTCAAATTGTGATTGCAACATTGACCCTTAGCCAGTGTCAGGAAGAATGAATAAATGTATATAGGAAGTAAATGACAGCAAATTTAACGTGAAATTTTAACTCCATGAAGGTCAGGACGCACGCCCTCTGGTGACATTAAAAAAACTCAGAATGTCGACACTTGGTGGCACAATCACATCAAATTCACATTATTTTTAACTTCAGGAGCAATTATGATTTCCTGCCATAGATACACAAATTTCAGATTCTAAAATCTGACTTGTGAATTTTAATAGGCCAAGTGATGACCATGGTAGGCCATGAGCAGCCAATCAGCGATAGCGCCACAGCTGTCGATTTTCTGCAGTAATAAAAGACAAGCCGTGTACACGTATTAAATCCCCATGACGAACTTCAAAGCAGCTATCCTGAGAGTTTCAGTGTTGCTGTTGAGAAGGTGGTAATTTCAAGTTGGTGAATTGAAATGAAGGTGTAGTCATGACTTTTGAGTGGTCAGGGTCAACAGATGGTGGAAATTAGAGATGTTGACCTAGCCGACTACGTACTTTTAAATAAATTGAATCAATCAGCGTAAACTTAGGAATTTTGAAGTTGTTATGGGATATGCCCTCACACCACCAATCTGTATACTGACCCACCTAGACAACATGCAATATTGGCGTTCCTTTTGTCTAGAAAATGACTTGCATTCACAATTTAAAATAGCATTCACACAACATAAAAGTTATCAACCTTGCTATTCATTTATGCGTACTGTTATAGGTTTAATTATTCACCATGTTTTATTTTATAGCTAAATGCCAAATTAACTACTGAATACTTGCGACTTTAAAATCTAATGAATTTAAAACATTTAATTTTGTTAGTTTCTAAGGTTCATTTGAAGAAGGTTGTCAAAGTCTCGTGCAAGATAGTATCAAGATAGTAGTTGCACTGTCACAGGTACTACAACTCCATAATTGAACACATACAGTAAGTTTAACAACTTTTATTGTTTCAGTTTTTATGATTAAAAAACTATGATTTGGTATACAAAGTAGCAAAATATATTTTACAAATTTTTGTCAGTTATTGGAAATGTTGAAAAATCCAAAGTTCGTCATACATACATGATTTTTATGTGCAATAAAAATATATAAAATTACCATGAACAGAATATATCGGTAGCACATAATTATCAAAGTAGCAGGCTCAATGGTTATTTGGAAAATAGAAGACTTAAGTTATTTCACATAAAAATACAAGCACAACATTAAAAATGCATATCCCGTGAATACAACTGTTCTATGTACATGTATGGAAGCACAGTAACAAACACACAATTTCAATGTTGACAGTAATGGAGATATTACAAAAATGAACAATTAGTTGCACTAAACCATTTCTGTTGTGTCAAAATGATGTAGATGGATAAAAGCAATGCTGTTCAAAGTAATATATAGAAAGACCACCACAGCTCATTATTTTCATTAAATACTTGCTTATTTGCACAAATTAAATTTATCTTATTAGACTAATTAGATTTTATTCGCCAGATAAAAATCCTTGCTTAAATAAAAGAATTCACTTGCTGTCACCTGAATGCTCTTTACATGCCAGGGGTTCTGGGTAATGCATGTATCTGGTTGCATTATCAGTTCAATTTTTGAACACAAAAAATATACTATGATTAATATGGACGGAATGTAAGTAATGATAAACATTAAAACTAGCAGCCCCCTCAACTTTCTAGTTTGTCATCATAAAATACTACCATATTTGAATACATTAGATTTATCTAATTAGACGAATGCATTTGGTTGTGTAGTGGTCTTATATACGGGTAAATACAGCAACTTTCTCAAAAACAAGATTTGTTATCAATAATTTTCTACAGAAACAATAAAGACGATTTGAATAGTTTTTTTGCCACTAGAGAAACCTTTTTGAAAAAGTTTATTTAAAACCCTTCTAATATTTTACACATCATATACATGACCCCTTAAGCTTGCGATAATTTACCAACATATATCAAAATATACAAGCGATCTGAAAAAAAATAAAATTCGAGTAAAAGCATCAAAATGAATTATTTAATTAGTGTGCAGCGAGGACAACATAGTTCAATCCAAGTATGTACAGATTTGAAATGCATGACAAGCAAAACAATATAGCACAAAAATACTTGTTACACATTTCTTTGAAATAATCATGTATCAAATCAATAAAATATGGATCAAAAATGAATTGAATTAGTATCTGCCAAGATAGGTCCATCTACAACAATGATCAGCGATGATTCCTATTTCTGGTTCAGAGGGAAACAAATCATGGGTTCATCTGTGATGTACGGTAACAAGAAAATGGTGGAAAAACCAGGCTTTATGTCACTTTATAAATAGGGTCTACCTGTATTTCTAATTATATTGGCACAGCCGTACACAGTTCAGTTAACTGTCATATGCACATGTCTTGTGTCCTGATTATCACATCTTCAATTCATTTTTCTTTTCTTTTCTAGAAAGAATTCTTTTTTCTTTATAAAATATGTGGAAAACTATTGGTGGTTGCAAATGGATGACACTTATGAGGTGTATGAACACGTGCCAGATCTTTAAAAACGAAAATGCACATTCTCTGTTTTGAAAACAAAACAATAACATCTCGCAATAATGTCCAGAAACAGGTGCAGACTTTCATGATGTCAGAGGTCCTCTCCATTGACTCTGTATTTTTCTATTAATTTCAGCCAATACTACAGAATACACCAATTCCTTTTCTGTGGATATATTAGCAAATGCATCATCTTCCCTCTCTGAGTATAAAAAAAACACATTAACATTAATAAACTGTGTAATGATAAGAATGGTGTGAACATGCGCAATGTAAGGAGCTGAAGGTGGCAGTGTCTTACAATATGGGATTGTGTCGATCTGCGCTAACATGCTACATGAACCTGCATTCATGAAAGGTATGTGATAATGATACAGAGTCTGCCATCCACCCAATTACTGTCATAAATGCTAGTCCAAAAGGTAATTATGTAAGCTTTATTACACAAGAGGGAATAATGAACTAAAATACGAAGGAATACCGATTTCTCCGCCGCAACAAGCACTAAGAGAACATTTTTTATTATATACTGTACTCCATTATGACCAAGTCAGATTGTGTCTTTGCAAGAACGATATGCATGTTACTTAATAGGAAGTTCAACAAGTATACCTGGGAGAAGGAAGTCCCCAAGTGTTCTGAATTGTACGAGGAAAATGAGCATGTTACCTTAAATACGGTAATGTTTATGTTGCGGGGTAGATTTGCACAGAAACAACATTTTAAACAAGCAGCCTGTCGGCTGAGATAGCTCCGCTGTGAGCAATGCACATGGCAATTAAAGAACAGAAGATATCATTAGAAAATGAACAAATCTGAGAGACGTCCACATGTAGTACCTATATGTATAATATATCAAAGCAATTGGACTTGCGGTTTTCAACAAGAAGTCGAAAATATCACTTTTTACCAAAAATTACAAAAATATTCATCAAAATTAGAGAATTAAAGATATCATTACAAAATGAACAAATTTGAGAGAGGTCCATATGTAGTACCTATATATGTAATATCAAAGCAATTGGACTTGCGGTTTTCAACAAGAGGTCGAAAATATCACTTTTTACCAAAAATGACAAAAATATTCACCAAAATTAGAGAATTAAAGATATCATTACAAAATGAACAAATCTGAGAGAGGTCCACATGTAGTACCTATATATGTAAATATCAAAGCAATTGGACTTGCGGTTTTCAACAAGAAGTCGAAAATATCACTTTTTACTAAAAATGACAAAAATATTCACCAAAATTAGAGAATTGAAGATATCATCATGAAATGAACAAATCTGAGAGAGGTCTACCCAAGGTACATATACACCAAGTATCAAAGCATTCAGGCTTGTAGTTTTCAAGAAGAAGTCGAAAAAGTAAAACATTGACACGGACGATGACGACGACGACGACGGACAATCACTCATATGATAAGCTCCGCTCGACAAAGTCGACAGCGGAGCTAAAAAAGATCATAAAAAAACAAAAGTTTCTAATGATCAACCCCCTTAGAGAATGCATTAAAACTGACCTGACCCATCTTTAGGTTTATTAACTGATCCCTTTGGCCTTCCTGGCTTTCTTCTCTTTACTGGAGGTCCACCATCTGCACTTGATTCTTTATCTTTACTTGATGATGAAGAAGTAGAAGCTGACGCTGCCGCCGCCACACTGGCTTCATATTTGTTGATCTACCAATGAATTAATTATTTAATAAAAGTATAGAAGAATGCCATTTTCAACAAAAGTTTAAGTCTCAAAACATAAGGGTATAACACGACATGAATAAATTTTAATTTAATGTGAGAAGCTTACTCTTTTTATATGGTTTTCAATTTCACTTGCACTGTAATAATCTGGTCGTTCCCTTTTCACTCTTTCTGTTCTTCTCCTTTTTACATCAGTTTGTTCTAGAAGAAATGATATTTTTGTTGGTGTGAATTAATTATGACTTAATACAAATGTCCTAAAAGCAGTTACTTGTCTTTATTTGCAAAATAATAACAATATATTATTGTAGTACAATCAAGTTGTGAGTAATTTTTTTTTTAACATTCAAAAAATATTTGTGAAACATTTTTTCTGATAAATAGCTGTTCAGTCAGCTATACTTAATTATGTTTAAAATGAAAGGCAAACAAATAATTCCACCTCAACGCCTGGAAGTGATGGCCACTTTAATTGGTTTGAGGCGTATTCGGTTTGTTTTCAATGCTTTGAAATATAAGAATAATATCATTAAACATGTATTATTGTCGAACAGTAAATTGTTATTTACTAGAAACAGAGTGCCAAAAAACTGCCAATATTTGTTGCTATTCAAGTTAAAGAAATTAACACCTTTTTGTGTGACATAAAATACTGTTCTACTACTTGAAAACCCAGCCGATCTTGTACCTCAACCAACAAAATCTTGGCGGTGCGGAGGACACCATGGTTAACAGGTGATAAAAATGCAAATGACAAATTAATGACGCCCAAAGAAATTCATCTCATTGATACAAACCAATTTAGTTCCCTCACTAAATTGCTACGTATTTCTGTTCTAGTAATGCGACTCATATTGAGACAGTGAATCACAGGAAATCTGACCACTGATGAGCTAGGACAAGCTCAAACAATATGGATTATGGACACACAATTAACGTTATACCTTGATGATATCAACATGATTAAAAACTGGAAATAAGAAAAGAAGTGCACTTGAGAGTGGGTAAACGGTTAATATTTTGATCAGAGGACTGGTGTATTAGCTACTGTACTGGAAATAGCTAACGGAAGTGAACATCTCAATTGGGGAGTAGGTCGGGATAGGGTTTGCATATATATAAGCACGCTATTTACAAATCTTGTCTTCACTAGAACAGTATGATCTTAATGAAAAGCAAGTTCCACGATGAATATAGGCACATCATGCAATTTAATACATTTACTTTATGCCAGAACATAAAAAATGCAAATAATACAAAAAACAAATAAAATTCGGTACTACCTGGGGGTGGTGGAGGATTAGGTATTTTTCTGCTGAATGTGTGGCCACAAGGACAGCTCTTACAAGCTACAGGAATCTGAAAACAAGACATTAAAGGTGGCCATTAGAAACTCAGAGTGGCAATGGCAGAAAAACTATGGAAAATATTTTTTTATTTCACTTTTGTGCTAATTATTTTAATGATGAAATTGGCTTAAATTTTTAATCTCCTCTGTGTGTAATATTTTTTCCCTAACAAATAGGCATGCAGAATTTTTTTCTTTCTGTTACTGATCCATGCAAGATTATTTTCCCATGATTTTTTCCTGTGCAATTTGTTTTTCTCATTCTGCCATCACGCCCCCGGAGTTTCAAATACTCCACCCCTTAAAATAAAAATTATCATAAATTAAAGCAAAAGTGAAATATAAAAATTGAATAAATTTATTTCAAAAAATCGACGCACCCTGTGGAAATGTGTCTGATATGGTAAAATATTCATGGTAAAGTTCAGTGACCTCTAAAATAAAAGAATGTCTTCACATCTTTGAACTTTAACACCCTATCAATTACCCTTTTGTAAACATTGTAACAGAAACAAGAATTATTTAAACTGTTTATTATTGTACAACAAACTAGAAACAATTCAACCAGAAACATGATCCGCATACTAAAAAAACAATGAGCTTTTGTTTCGCGTCAAATATAGAAGACAGATTGGCAGCTGCAACTATAGTAAATACTAGTAATACAGAATGCCTTTATGTTACTTTAATAAAAAAATAACCACTCCGCGGCCACGCAAAGACAATTAAATATAAATAAACTGAAACTACAAATAAATACGTATTATTTTACATTCACTTTAATGAATAAAAAAACAAAAACAAACATAAGATAGAAGAAACCCTTTCTCATAGCGTGAATGACCAACGTCACTTTTAGTAAATATAGTTATCTTCACTGTGAGGAACATACCTGTGTGCCACAATTCGGGCATTGCTTATGAACCATCATCTTGAGAGCCGGTTATGATGAGACTATACGTCTCCAAAATAGTAAAAAGTAAATGAATTATTTTATCAGGCGAAAACTCCCACCGCGGCGGCCACCACTCGGTCATAAGTTTTGATTCACCACATCCGCAGTCAGCTGCCGATACAAAATGGACGTTCAATACGTCATCGGTTAAACCATTATTTTCAAGGGTTGGTCAATGACATATTCGGATCTCCAATCACAAGCCATGTTGGTAGAGTAAACATTAAAATAACGTCGCAAATGCATTCAAATGCAGAATAACGCAATGTAAATCATCTATAGCATATGTACCTATTACTCATCTCTGTAAAATATTTTCGAAATTGTAGACTCCATGGGTCACCTGATCGCGTGACCTTTAATGACCTTGTAATTACAGCCGCGAGATCAGCTTTGCAAAACCTGGCCAATCACGCACGTTTTTATTTCACAGTAAAACTGCCGACGACTTTTCTGAAAAACTAACTGAAGTTAACCAATCGACAGCCTCGTTACATAAACATATTTCTCCATTTTGGCTTAAACTATTTCTCCATGTATTCAAGGGCATCCCGGCGATTAATACCCGTGTTCACCAAGCCATTTCAATCTAAATCGTACGAAGGTTTGCTTAAGAGAGTGACAATGGCGAGCTCACAGCCAAAGAGACCCAAAGTCGTAACCGTGGACAATATGAATCCACACGTCAGGACCATGGAATATGCCGTCCGAGGCCCCATTGTTGCAAGAGCGACGGAAATAGAGAAGGAATTGGCTGCGGTGAGTTCTATAGACTCGGTGTGGGTAATCCACACATTGCTTTAGTACGTGCAGGCAATTGCATGTGACATTTATATGACCTACTTTCTAGAGTAAATATTAAATCTGTTGCAATTGATGAACTTAGGTTATGCATTTCGCTGAGGCCCAAGACCTTGTCATACTCTTATTTCAGCTAAAATTCAAAGAGCCGAGATTGTTGGCTTCAGTCGCCTCTCCACAATTAAAAAAACATTGGACACATTCACATTGTCATACACACACACATCTGATATTGTCATCTAAGGTAATAGTAATATTGCAGAAAATTTAGTAAAAACACACATTCTTGATAATTTTGAATAAGAATACTTACCTCCCCCCCAAAAAAATCAGGAAATTTCTGTATTAAAAGTTAGTGTTAGTTATCTAAATTTAACAGTCACAGTGGTACTGGTTGTAAGCCACCAAATACTTACAGGGTATTTTAAATAAACATCCCTTATTTGACACAGTCTTTGTGTTTATGGATGATTGCAGACAGGTCACAGTTGATGTACAATATTTGTAATGTAATTTAATAATTCTGTTAGATATTAAAATAAAATGAAAACATAACACACCATATTTTCTCTATTGAAAGCACAAGCCTTTATGCCTTTAAGTCAGAACTAATAATGTAGTTAAATATTCAAAATCCAACCAAAGAAATATTTGGGGCATTGATGGGAATTGATATGCAAGACGTTCATCTAATTGAGATAATATATTTTGTTGTGTGTTTTTAAGTAAGTTCTTGTGAAACGTCTGGTAATTTTAGGATTTTGTTTTCCTAATTGAAAGTTTATGTTCCTGCAAGTTGGCAAGTCCCTCCTATGCATGCATTTCAATGACCATATATGACCCTGTGACCCTGCAATTTTCTGGCCTGGCTGCTATGATACAAGCACAATACACTTTAGTATGCCTATTGACATGTATAAATACATTAAAGATCTCTTAAAATGAGACTCTGGTTTAATAGTTGATTTTGGTGCTACATAATACATGTATAGTTTTCATCTTGTTGAATTTGCATTTTTCAGAGACAGTTTAAAGCCAAGAATCTCATGAGCCAAATGTAATTAAAATTGATCCTGTTTACAGGGTTCAAGGGCAGACAGCTAACTCTTACTCTATAATGTGGGGCTTTCAAAATTACCCGGTAGTAGCACAACTCTACCGAAAATTGAGACAATTTTTTTCCCACAAATTAGCTATATGTGTCTACATATATACAGAAATAGCATTGGAATGACAGGTATTTGTATTTACCCTGTTTTCATGGCCTTCAGTATACTTACTATGCCAAATGAACTACCACAAGAATTCCAGCTTTTGAAACTTGTAGCCCAGCAGACTTTAGCTATTGATGATGATAATTAATCTTTGCTCTATGATCTATGTTAACTCTAAACACATTTTCTCTGGCCGAATGTTCTCTCTCAGCTAAGCACCCCAGCACAATTGCTGATTGGCTTAAATAATTGACGATAAAAATAACTTGCCTGCTAAGTAATTTTACATTGGGTTATAGCAAAAAATTATATTTTATAGAATGTTTTTTAAATGATATGTACATGTATATCAATGTGAAATATGTTATGATGATATACTCAATTAGTATAATAGTGATATTATTATTAATAATATCTCCTAGAAAAGATAAAAATATTCCTACATACATGTAACAAAACAAAGCTTCAAACTTTTTAAAAAAACACTGTCAAAACTAGCCTTAAATGAATTAAGCTATGGGAAGTGACACATGTTTGTTGGAAATAAATTTATCGCTACTGGTTCCAAAATTATTAATATGAATTTCTGCTTGGTTAAATAAATTCAGTCAATTTATTCAACTTTCAATTATGCTGCATCTTTAACAATAGCATACAACCACTGTGCTCAAAGTGTTGTGGAACACTGAACTAAGAAAATGAATTATACTTACGGTAATTGTTTTATATGTTTATTGCTTTTTTAGGGTCAAAAGAAACCATTTCCTGATGTAGTAAAATGTAACATTGGTGATGCCCATGCATTGGGTCAACAACCTATTACATTTATCAGACAGGTAAGTAAAAAAAGGTAGTGGTGCGGATGGATTATTTAGAATATACCACAGAATACTTTATTAGTACGCGTTTGAATGCAGTACAAAAACTGGAAAATTGACCTCTGTGCGTGCATGTGTGTCTGTGTCTTCATTTGTTTTTTCAGACATGCCTGGTTCGATCACATTCAAACTTAACAAATACATGTAGGGTACATCGCATATCCTGGGCAACATATGTGGGTCCACTAGTTTGATTCAAGATAGCTGAATGGTGGCCATTTTGTACTAAAAATTCATCAAAATCAAGCATTTTGCCATTCCAGAGCTGGATCTCGGTCATGTACGGGTATGTCATACTGTGGCGGTTTATTGCTCACATTCTAACAATTCTAAAAACTGCAGTTATTGTGTTTGTGTAGTGGTACACAAGAAAAAAAAAAACTACGGGTATAATACTTAGACAACTTGATATACCATTTATTTGGTACAGTAGAATGACATCAAGATACTATGAAAGTACAATCAAGTACAGTACATACTAAAATATACAGAGTGGCTTCCTTTATGAAGGGTTTAGCGGATTCACACATCTGAATTTTAAAATTAGAAGAAAATGTTATCATTGGTTTGTACGTTAATGTTGACAAGTAACTTTTAAATATACTTTTCAACTTAATCCGATATAATGTATATATATTACATTCACACTGATACCATCTCTCAAATGGCTTATATAAACTGAGTTTGTGTTTCTTTACAATAAAAATGCATGTGTTTAAGAGTGAAATCAGAGTGTAAATGACTTCTATATCTCGGCAAATAATGCTCAAGCAAAATAAATTCCAAAGAAAATAAATAATTTGCACAATACTGTAGATTTACTAAAAGAATAAATAACAAAAGGAAATGCACAGATTATACAGAAATGTGTGGAGTATGTATTTAGTATTTACTGATGCTCTATCTTCAGTTTGTTGGTATTAAGTTTTACTTTGAAATTATAAATATTGTTGCACTGGGTGTTATTATTAGGTTGTAAATATTGTAATGTTATGTTTTAGCTGTACTTTGGTGGCACAATTCTACCCACAGTTTAACACTTGACTTCCATTTGGCCACTAAAAATTTTACCTTGGTTGGCCAAGGCCACTCGGGAAATAATTAAACTTTGACGGTTGTGCTATTATGCTATATTGTAGTTGACAATAACCATAGCAAACATTTTCTCCCTTAACAAAAATTTTGAAAACAGTAACACAAAACTAGTAAAAATAGCTATACAAGTGAGCATATGACAAATTCATTCTTAGATTTTGACATTTTGTATTGCTGTAATTTGAACCGAAGACATTTCTATGGGAATCTATGCATATTGTTTTTTTTTTTTATAGTAAAACCCCCTTCCTTAGAAGACCTACATTTACAGCTATGTAAACTAGTATGTTTTTCTGTGTTTCAGGTAATTGCCCTAGCTACATATCCTGAACTGCTAAATAGTGACCAATTCCCAGAAGATGCCAAGAAACGAGCAAGAAGGGTTATTGGTGGATGTAAAGGTGGTAGTGTTGGTAAGTTAACACTATTTACTACAAATACAAATCACTGGTCGAAACAAGGAAAATCCAGGAGTCTATTGCTTCTAAAGTTACTTGACACCTAGCTGTAGTTGTCAAAGAATACTACATCACTACCAACTTTTTTCTGAATGCTCTTACACAGGAATACTTCAAAATCTGAACGCAATGTTCGGTTAATTAGATTTGAATGTACATGATTTATAAAGAAGTGAAGTCCTTTCAAGGTTGTCTAGGCATTTGATTATACCATATTTATCTGGGAAAGAGCCCATGCCCGAGCAAATATCCACCCCCCACTTTTGACACAATAAAGAAGTTCAGGTCATATCCTCATACGCCCAGGGGGTCTTTTTCTACACAAAAAATAACAAAAACCTATTTTCTATTCGTTGACTGTGGTTGTATTAACAGTTGACTTTCCTGCAGTCTGTTGTGATGCTTATAAACATTCTTTAAAAATAATTGTTAATTGCGTAAAACAAGGGGTGAACACGAAATACCTGTGACAGAAAAATAGGTAATTTCGCTTTTTGCCTTCAGGGCAGCGTGTTCACTGCTGATTTACATTTAGTTTTCAAGATTTTTTTTTCAGAATCATAATAGTCAGCAAGTCTATAAAAATGTATATTGAAGCAGAAACGGTAGTTCTCTTTTTAGTCCCCGTTTGGGGACTTATAATTCGGTCTCCGTCCGTGTGTCTGTGCGTCCATGCATCCGTCCGGAGTCGTATCTCAGAATCCCTTGGACAGATTCCGTTCATTCTTTGCATGTGCCTAGTAGTTTATGTGGGACATATGCACATGCAGTGGTTTAGCGATTCGATTCAAAATGGCCGACTGGCAGCCATCTTGTTTTTTGAAAATGTTGTATTTTGGACATGCTTTGTCAGTTGTCATTCAAACTTGGTACATAGATTATACATGTTAGGATACATGTCCATGACGATTTATTTCGCAATTGGATCAAAAATGGTCGACTGGCAGGCATCTTGTTTCGTTTTTTATGCGGTATCTTGGACGTGCTCTTTCAGTTTTCATTCATATTTGGCACATACATCATACATATCAGTGTGTTTCATAATCAGATCAAAGATGGCCAAATAACGGTTGTTTTTATTTTTCGCCATATTACTACTACAAGGAACACGTGTTTTGATGTAAATAAACAATCTGTTGTATACGCCACTTGGAACTCAAGTTTCAAGGACACGCTGGCGACAACCCCTCTGCTTTAATATGACGAGCACAAAGAGAACTTTCAAAAATTTAACGGGGACTGTGTCATTTTCAATGACTTGTTAAAATATGTCGTGGCCCAAAAAAGGGCCAGCTGTTTGGTTTGTGCTTCCTTAGAAACGATTCAAGCAACTCGTATAAGGAGAGCCGGGAAGTAAGTGTTGCACTTGGTCGGCAGTAGCGTCATCAACAATTAAATCAATGTTGCAATATTGTAGCTGCCCATACTTAGAGAGTGGTTGAAATCACTTTATTTTGGCTTTATAAAATATTTGGTAGCAGCTTGCAAATCGATAACTGGGGCCAGCAATTTTGCAATGTCACGCCGAAGACTGACAACTTTTTTACCATCTTTTATCACCGCTATTGCATTTCTGTCATGAAAACTATTCTTCTGTCGTTGGATAAAAAAAAATTCCTATTTCAAGGCAACCGTGTTATCCATATCTGCCGCAATTTGCAGAATGATAACTTTCACCATGAGTGATAAGCGTTGAGTCTGATAAGAAAGCAATGTCATGATTTGACCTTTATGATGAAACACTAGTAGATCATTCTTAGCCAATCAGTAAAGCAGATGCATAAAGGTCAAAAAAGATTGTCAGACTGTTAACAAAAGCATCATGTGCCATCGCAGCAGAGCGACTTGGACTTTCAGGGTTTTGAGTTTGACAAAGATGGCAAGAACGTACAAATAAAGATCTGAGAAGTTTTTTCAAACAGCTATGAATTGAAATAATTTCATTGAAATTTCATTATATAGATGGCACACAATACATTACATATATTGATATACGCAATTTCACTATCAGAATGTATTAAGATTGTCTTTTTGGGTCAAAATGTGTAATTTTTGGTCAAAAACAGGATGAAAATGTATGAAATACTCAGTATTTTGAGACACCTCTTCAAGGGACATGGTTTTGTGGTTCAAGTACTTTTCATGGTTATTGTTTAGGTCTAATTGGACTGAACTGATGTGGTCCAGTTATTCACACACTTCATTGTCTTGAACAAGAGCAATGACATGTTATTTGTTGTTATTTGGTAGGTTCTTACAGCGACAGTGTTGGTATTGAGCCAATCAGACAAGACATTGCAGCGTTTATTGAAAGGCGCGATGGACATCCTAGTAATCCAAATGAGATTATGTTATGTGCTGGTGCCAGTGAAGGTATTAGGGTTAGTATCACGGTATTCACTTGTTGCCATGGTGAAATCAATGTGTGTGTGTGTCCATCTGTTCCACTAATATATCAAGAACCACTCAATGGATTTTGATGAAACTTGGTACATTGATGCTCTGGGACAATGCACAGACCTGATTAGTTTTGGGTAAAAACGATGCATATTAATTACCTAATTTGCATAATGATTAGTCAATTTTCTGCTTTTCCACCTATATCTCAAGTAGTAATAATCATATTACAATGAAACTTGGTACATAGATGTCATAGAGCAATGCACAGACCTGATAAGTTTTGGGTTAATAACATGCATATTATTACCTAATTTGCATAATTAGTAAAGTTTTGGCTGATCTGCTGATATTTCAAGTACTAATCATTACATTTCATTGAAACTTCATACACAGATGTTCTAGGAATATGCACAGACCTAATTAGTTTGGGCTAAAAATCTGTGCATATTAATCACTTAATTTGCATGTTAATTGGCCAACTTTAAGCATTTTCAGTTGTTTCTCATGTACTATTCAACATATCTCAATGAAACTTGATAGCTACTAGGAACCACCCTGGTCATTGCTTGCAGTTATATTCTTAAATGCTGTATTCACTCTAATAGAAGCACATGTGCTAACTACATGCCTTCAATATGTCCAGCACACAAGAGTTCTTTCTAAGCTTTTCTTGATTAGTATGTGTAATCAGTATGTATTAATGAGATTTGTATGCTGTTGGGTCTGATTATTTAATGTGAGTTTGCTGTGTGCACAACTTTATATGGGTTTAGTGATGTAGGCACTTTTGTGTCACTTACAGTTTGAAAACAATTTGCACTAATTGCTATATTTTGTATGATTGATCCTTGTGAACTATGGTGTGTCTATTATCAACGGTTTCTGTTTTTTTGTTTGTTCTCCAGTCTCTACTGAAATGCATGGTGTCTGGTGAAGGGAAGAACAGATCTGGTGTGATGATACCCATCCCACAGTACCCACTGTATTCAGCTTCTCTAGCAGAGTTTGGATGTGAACAGGTATGTTTCCTATTATTCACAATTTTTCTAGATCTAAAACATGGTCTGTCACCATGCAGAGGATGTTCATTTCACAAATATAATGGTAGTTTTGACCCTAAAAATGAATAATTCATACACAAGGAAGTATACATGTATATATGGTGCCAAGTTATGATAATCCTGCATTTGTACTAGTCTTAAGAATGATGTAATATCCAGGTGTTTCTTAAGACAGTAAACTATACTACCTAATTTAAAGTGAGAAAATTCTAGACATGCATGTACTTTTGTCAGTTCATCTATGTAGTGAGACAAATTATATTTTATATGAGTATATGTAAACTGTCGTAAATGGTCAGCTTGATCAAACAAATAGCAAATTCATTTATCCATGCTCGCATTGGTTATTTTTTTAATCAGAGTGTAATAATATTATATTTGTACATATTCTCTTAATAGTTTTCATAGCTTCTTACCTTTATAGTGAATACTGTCTTGTTTATTTATGAAAGTCCTGCTACCACATATTCTCATTTAACATTATTATCACAAGGTTTAATGTCAGTATCTCACCAAAATTATTAAGTATTAACAATTCTTTGGGGGGAAGGGGTGCAAAAATTTGGCTCACCCCCAAAATAGTGGATGAGACCCTGCATAGTGCTGCAGATGCACTTCTAGTAGAATAAATATAATACATGTCACATTGCTACAACTGTGATACAAGCGTTTTAACAGACGATGATTCTAAATTATTTATCTTTTTATAATGTGAACAAAGATTGGTTATTACATGGATGAAGCAACAGGCTGGAGTCTCGGAAAACCAGAATTAAAACGTTCTATCACTGAGGCCAGAAAGCACTGCAATCCGGTAGCTATTGTGGTTATCAATCCAGGAAACCCCACTGGTTAGTTATATTTGTATGCATGTATTTATTATTTCATATAAACAGTGGAAAAATGTATTGCATTTAACTATTCCACCATCAGACTTTCTCATCCAAATATTTCTGCCCTTTTTTCTTATATATATAATTCTGTAAATGAATCTTAATTTTGGAGCCTTTTGGCAAAAGACAATTTTGAAGCAGTTTTCAGTTTTTACCCAAAAAATCTGACTATTTCGTCCCAATATTCTAAAGTGCAGACTATAAACAGAGCTATTTTGTAAATGTGTGATGAAAACAGGATACTGGTGGTGAAAAGGTTAAACCTCTTATCAATATTGACTTTATTTTTGGCATGTGTGCAGATGAAAATAATTTTCATGTGTCATTTTTTCCAGGTCAAGTATTGAGTCTCGATAACATCAAAGACATTATTCAATTTGCATATGAAGAGAAATTATTTATCATCGCCGATGAGGTAAGACAACAGTTGTTCATCTTTATTAAGTGTTGAAAAGAATAACAATTTAGTCATTTATTGCTACAAGTACAAGTTACTGTGAATAAAATTAATAGGAAATGTCTGATCTTCATTTATCACTGGAAATACATTGTACAGTAAATATTTTTCTGATATCATCTCAGCATTGCATGGACGAACAGTTAAATTAACATTGTATTGTATTTAGTTCTGTAGTAATATCCCAATATATCTGATTAAAATAGGTGTCGTGTGATAAAACTCAAATACAGACATACGTCAAAATCGTAATGTTGTAAAATGATATAAAATATTATATCATCAATATAATCCTTATTGCAATTACTGGTAGGTGTATCATCTCCGAATTTCATCTTGCCCTCTGTTTTTGTTGTGTTTTTCCAGTACAATGGTTGCAATTCTGTTAACTTCTCATCTCATCTTACAACATGACTTACCCCCCTCCAATTACAGTTAACAGTTGTTATTTAGTCATTTACAGGAGTTTGTCACTCAACTTAAAGTTTCTTTTCTAATCTTTGTGTGGTGAGAAACTTGTTTTTGAAAAAGTTTTAACTCCATAAACCATTGCTGGTTGAATAGTTTTCTTTTCAGGCAAATGAGTATACTAGGATTAGTTAGGACCTCAGTCTGTTTGCTACCCAGCCAGCCTGCTTGCTCGGGTTCTTATTTTGATTTCCTATATCAGGTTCAAAGGTTCGTTGAAGGTTCAAAACTTGAGTGAATCCTGTCAGTATCAAATATTCTGGTTATAGTTTATTTATATAGTTTGTATGTAAATAAGTTCAGATTGCTTGTCAACATCATGATCTATTTTTTCAGGTCTATCAAGAGAACATCTATGCTAAAGGTGCTAAATTCCATTCTTTCAAGAAAGTTTTGCGCGAGATGGGTCCCGAATATCAGACAATGGAGTTAGCGTCATTCTATTCTACCTCTAAAGGGTTTATGGGAGAGTAAGTCAATGTGGTTATGTTATTTATAGATGAAGTAATATTTAATGCACGTTTTCTCAATATCTAGAATATAAATGAATGTGACTTTTTAAATGTTTCCCCCTGTGTATCATCACACTAAGTACAGACCTCTAAGATGTACCTAATAATGAAAATTCATTCATATGTATGGTAATATTTTTCGGGAAAACAACTTTACTCTGCATTGTTGCAAGCACTTTCCAATGAGACAAGGTGCATTTCGTATTGTTTATTTATTTATTGACCAAGAAAGTTTGAAATTGACTGTAAAAACTGTATTTGAGATTCTGAGTATTTTCACCATTACTTATCTAAGAGAAATGGTGTATACACCATCAGTGAGTAAATTTTTGTCTTCTGAATATACACACACAAACACACACCTCTGTCATTTACATGTTATTGTATACACACCACTATTATACATCTGTCGCAGTAACGTCATTAGTTTCAGCATTCCGTATTTTTGTGGTATTGCACTGGGTATTTGTATCAAGAAATGTTAATTCCAAATATGCAACGATAACGCACATAAGCACTCTCTGATAATAAAAACAAACATTGCAGTACTCAGTACATAGTCCCAACAATCTCCGCTGTGGTATTTAGAATATTGTAAACTCTGTGGATATTATTACACATGTTCTTATCAATGAGTAAGATGTATATTCTGATTCAATAGGTGTGGTTTACGTGGTGGATACCAAGAAGCTATCAATATTGATCCTGATGTATTTGCTATGCTTAAGAAGTTAATTTCAGCAAAACTCTGTCCAACAGTACTAGGACAGGTAAGGCTAATAAATTATATGACAAGTTGAACCAAGCTTGGAAAAAAATAACTGCCTGTCTATTTTAAGTAGTAGGTACATATTTATGATGATTTATTTATAGTTAATTAAAAAATGTCCTGGTAAGGGCAGCTTTTGTATATCCTTGTGGTATGGCTATATTTGAAATGTCTTCATGTGGTGTTCTCTTCATAGATTGCCATGGAGTGTACAGTGAATCCTCCAACACAAGGTGAACCATCCTACGACCAGTTCATTAAAGTAAGACATGTTTATCTTTATATCAAATAAACACAATTAGAAAATAATGTGTAATATATAACGTGTGTACTCTGTGTGTTGTTGTTGAAGGCAGCTGGTTTGATTGAACTTGCATGAATTTTTTTTGTGAGAAATATCACAAAAGATGAAGGATCAGAGAATGTTATTAATATATGCACGTCTTGCCAATCAGTGACAACCTTTTGAAAAATAAAAATGTTCAGTTCAGTTAAGTTGTATTGTATTATATGCAGTATTTGCTAATTTGAAGGTGTATTTCCAATAGCAAAACACATAAGCCAAACATTTCATTTATGGTATGCTAGCATAATTTTCAACTTGTATGCAACTAAATGTGGTATGTAATATTTCTGATTTCTTTCTTTCTTTGCAGGAGAAGAAGATTGTTTTAGATGCATTAGCCGAGAAAGCTAAGTTAGTGGCTGAAACATTTGATGCTGTAGAGGGTGTCTCCTGCAATGAAGTCATGGGTGCTATGTATGCATTCCCAAGAATACATCTACCAAAGAAAGCCATTGAAAAAGCTAAGGTAAGTGTTATAAAGAAAGACTGACTTTTATTGCTGTAATTTGACAATATCTCTAGTTGTTAATTTGTAGATGAGTTGCCAACAAATGGTATTTCTTGTAGCTGTTCAATAAAGAAATTCTCAATCATATTTTTTTTTGCTCAAGAAATTTTCTATAAGATTTTAGCAGATAGGTTTGCTACTTTATGTGTTTGATGAATGATTATATAATCATTGTTTTTTTTTAACAGTCAATCGGCATGCAACCTGATGCCTTTTACTGTATGCAGTTCCTTGAAGAGAAGGGCGTATGTGTTGTTGCTGGCTCTGGATTCTGTCAAGTTGAAGGAACATACCATTTCAGGTCAGTTATTTTCTGCTTGTGCTTTCTGCTTGTCTTGCATACTTACTACTGCCTTTCAGCTTTATCTTGTTCTATCAATATCTCCACTGACTTGATTGTCATGAATTGTGAATTAAAACTAATTTTAAACTATAAAAAGTACATGCATATTGTTTGTGTAGCTGTACATTAATCCCTGATTAGTCTGTACAAATTAATTATCTAATTTGCATACTAATCTGCTACGCTCTACATGTTTGTTTATATCTTAACAATGGTTTGCTGTAAATGAAATTTAATCAATGCATACTGTGTGTTGATAATCTGGTGAGAGACACATTTTTTGGAAGAAACACAAATTTGAAGCTGTGAACATTTCACTAGAGCAATCAGTTATAGAGTCAAACAGGGACAAAATCAACATTCTTCATTTATCAAGTTGTGCATATTTTGTTCAGCCTCTATATTGCCCATGCATTTGTTTACTTTTGTTGGCTGTGTATTTCTGATTATTCATTATTTGGTGTATCATACAGTCGTAACTTGTAGGTATTGTTAATGTTGTTCATGGTGATATCATACTGTTGGTACTCTGTGGTAATGTACAAATAATTTAATTTATTGTCAGTTTCCTTATCTGTTCACACCTTTTTCTCGTTCTGCAGAATGACTATCTTGCCATCTGTTGAGAAGATTAAGGATGTAATGCAGAGATTCCGGGAGTTCCACAGTAAATTCATGGAGGAATATAAAGACTAGAATTGCATAGAAACTCATTGCTGTGTTACAGTGATATCCAATATGTAAACTGTGTGACAGTTTAGGATCTCGCTTTATGACATGTATTGTACTTGTAAATCATAGTTTTTCTTAGATTAGAAAAATAATGATATTTCCCAAATATAATTTATTTGCCCCAGCTATTTACTAAAATTACAAAATATGTAAATTAGTCTGCATAATATTTTGGACATGTATTTGTAAATACAACAGATGTTTTCTTTCTAAATAGACCATTTTCCGTTCACTGCGAGAATCACGCGTTATGCGTGAAATCGAACGTAAAAACAGGACAAACAAAGGTCATAGCGTCGTAGTCGCGTCAAACATCGCGTGGGATTCGACAAACGCGAAAGTATTTCGGGGACATTTCCATGCTTAATAATGTGCTGTCCACATTTGATGATAGGCAATTTCGATTAAGTGAGGGTATTCGGAAGCAATATTCCTCTGTCGAAGATCGGCCGGTCAATGTAAGCTGCGAAATAAAGAAATTCTAGTTCAAAATCAAATTGTTCGATTTTTGCGGCAGACGTTCGACGCGCGTCTTTCATGCATTTCACGAGATCTCTCAATTGTACGGAAAATCACCTATTCACTACAATGTGTGCTAGGTTTACTGAGATGATATGCACAGTTTGTTCTTTCTGACAGTATTGTAAATTGTCAATCTGAGATAGAATCTAGCATAGATTGCAATAACTTTGTAACTATAAAAATGTATTATTGCTTAAACATAACTACTTTCATGATTAAAACTGAAATCTGTTTACAGCAACTTCCAGAAGCATTGGGGCAGCAAACTTATTCACTAATTCACTGACAACTTTAGTCTACAATTTGAATTTTGTCCTTTTTTCTGTTACTATCAATCACTGATGACCTTCATAGAACAATACAATACCAGCAAGTGTTCTACAATTATTTGTAGGCCATTTGCTTAGTCAAAACCAAGGAACTATGTTCTCTAATTTTCATCCCTTTAAAAAAAACAGAGCTGTAATGTGAATCATGTTAATTATTGTGCTATATCAGCTTTTTATTGAATTAAATGTATTATAATTCATTTCATGAATAAAAAAAGTTAAATGACAATATTCTGATTTTGTTATTCTATCTCACTCACTCAAGTGCCTTATTCATGTGATTTTGTGTGTCTCTGTCTGTTCCACTAATAACCAAAATATACTCTGAAGTTTCAGTTTACTATTTATTTTAAAGAACAGTTATTGATAAATAGATTTTAGTATACATAGTTTTGAATAGTTTTACTTTATGACAGATGAAATAACACCTTGTTGGATTATATATGTTTACCAGGAAATGAAGCAATAAAAATGAAATTACATTAAAATGATTGAAAGTCTTGGGCATTTAAAAGTTATTTAATTTTGAATGACATTTAGTTGAAGTTGTTCCAGATAAGAGCAAATATATGTTCTTTGGCAGACACGATTGATAGCGAAGGTTCTATTACAAATGTACATATCCATAACTAGATCAAATCTGAAATGCAAGAGAAGCTAAATGATTTCATAGTTAAATTGTATATTAACTCTGAGATCATTAATTCAAGTGCAAAGAAACCTGTTGAATTTATTTATTAAGTACATCGAAAATTTAAATAGATGGCATACAATAACTACACATCCTATTGCTGTGGAGAAAATGCCTCCAGGAGATGGATCACATATTCATCAAAACAAAATATTAAAATGTTTGATATTCTCAAGTAGGGCTTTGAATATTGGAGAGTATGAAATGATCTACAAAGCAGACCAGAAGCAACATGCTGCTATGGATATCAAAGATATTCTTGATACAAAAGGTCAGAAAAGATGCATCTAAAAGGCCTGATTGAATCGGGAAATAGAAACAGCAAGTGTGTGAGCCACATATGCAGACAACAATGATGTGGGAGAGAGAGAATTATCCACATGAAGCCTGAACATGTTTACAAAATACAGATGATATGGACGATTGGAAGTCATTGTCGGGGATATTTTACATTTTGTGTATATTTACTTGCCAATAGATAGTGGCAATAATCTCTTGTAGCGTGGACATGTAAATTCCATGAATTATTTAGCATTTTATAATTGTTAACGTTGTACATGTGTTGCAGGTATACAATCATAGCGATAAACCACTTTTCAAGAACTTTATACTAAGCCGGGGTATTTGAAACCGAAATTGTCATCTAAGTGTAAGGCTGTCGCTGATTGGCTGCTGAGCTGGAATGCCAATTTTTAGTTTCAAATACCCCAGGAAAGTGTTCTAGATTCTTCGTGTAATTAGGTGTTCGTATGCAAGGGATTTTTCCACACAAAAACTCGGCCGAATTTTGTTATCGGTTAGCTTAATATAACCCCAACGGACAGAATTTTTGTGAAAGATTGGTATTTTTGTCCTGATTTGTAGGAATCTGAAAAATGCGTTTAAAATATCGCATTTATTTTATTATATCGCATGTGCGACAGCTGACCGTGGCTTTATTTAGAATTTGTCATGCACCAACACAAGACTGGTTACGAACCGGAGTGGGGTTGACGAGTCAGTTAATCTGGCGCTCTGATTCGTAACCAGTTTAACTGCAGCGTGTTAAACGATGGGGAAGTAAATTTTAAAGAGAGGGCTGAAAATTATAATTTTACGATTGGCCATAGCAACACGAAAGCATGTTTACGTCGGAACAAAATTCATGAATTAGACAAAAGCAAAGCAATTAGCTCTAATCCTAAACTTATGGAGAAGACCAAAGTTGAATTAGATCTGCAAATAATGTTTGCTCCAGATCCCAATGGTTTGGTGGAAAAAAGAACAAACCAAAGGTTTGATGGTACTTTAAAACAGTCACAACCAGATATAGTCTCTGAATTGAAAACGTATTATTCCACATTTTATAGTACTAGACACACTAATGCGTCTAACGGTTCCACCAATTTATTAACGGGTTCATCTAGAACGTTCCTGTCGAATGAGAAACAGAAATGTGTGAAGGAAAATTTGCTTTGAGTGAGGCACATCGTTCTCAATTGTCAATGCCGAAAGGCATTATACCTGGCAATGGTGGTCTCCCAGCAGAATTCTACATTGTGTTTTGACTGGAAAATTGTCGGCCCTTATTGTAATTAATTCTAAAAATTGCGCATATGACCATGGTTTGTCAGCTATCTAACGCCAGAATATTGTTACACTCGAAGTCCGAAAACGGGGACTTATAATTCGGTCTCCGTCCGTCCGTGCGCCCGTGCAGAGTCATATCTCAGAATCCCTTGGACCAATTCCGTTCATTCTTTTTTTCTTTATTTATTTATTATTATTTCACCAAATAATAAAAAGTACAAGACACACAGAAAAAATAATGGAAAAAACAAAACAAAAAAACAAACAAACAAAACAAAACAAAACAAAAAAACAAATGTTCACAATAGCTGATCTAATAAACTCCAATATAATCTGAAAGACTTTGATTTTACATTGTATATCCTTATTTTGTACATATCTATTTTCTTTTGGTATGCTAAATAATTACATAAATTTACAAAAGATGGCTTTACATTCTTGTACCTACAATTGAAAATATATTTTCTTCAGCAGTAAAGGGTAATTTAAACCAAGAATGTAGTCTGAATTTAAATTAGAATCATGTACATTTAATCCCAAGATGACATCTTTTGATGAAAAATTTACCGAAAGATTACAATTATCGTCAAGGGTCGATTCAAGATCGTGACGCACTGAGGAAACATACATACAATTATAGAACAAATGAAGCAGTGTTTCAGGAAAATTGTTACAAAACGTACATTTATCAGTATCAACTATATTACGTATTTTTAAAAACCTGTTTGTAGTGGTACTTGTAGTGGTAATGCGTATAATACTTTTTCGTCTATTTTTAGCACTATTTGTGACAAAGTGGCCCCCATAGTCAAGATGAAAAAAAGATCAAAACTACCCAAGAAGCCATGGATAACGAGGGGCATTACAAAATCAATCAGACATAAAAATAAACTATACGAGAAAGTGATTAAGAGTAATTACAATCAAAATCGCCTGTCTGCTTACAAAACCTACAGAAATATTTTAACAACTATTCTTAGAAAATCTAAAAAAAAATATTACTCCAATTTAATTAATCTAAATAAAAACAACCCGACTAAACTCTGGAAAACGATAAATGATTTAAAAGGAAGGGCCACTGGCAATGGTGGTAGACGGCCTAAACTACTTACCATAGACAACCCGCTTTCTCAAACCATGAATATTCATGACCCAATAAAAATAACTAACTATTTTAATAGATTTTTTGCTA